GGAAGAGAAAGAGGGATAAGGAAGGGGGGAGGAAGAAGTTGGAGATGTTAGTACACACACACACACACACACACACACACACACACACACACACACACACACACACACACACACACACACACACACACACACACACACACTTCTGGTCAAGGGTCCTTATTTTCACAAGGGACTGTTTACATGGATCCATATTAGAGCTGCAAAGATTCAATGAAATGCCAACTATTAGGAAAATCAATTATTTGGTTTTAGAAGATTTCTAAGGAAACATAATTCCGGTTTGTTTATCAGTTGCGGATAGAATAAGACATTTGAGGACGTCATCTTGGGCTTTGGAAAACACTCATTAACGTTTTTCACTGTTTTTGGACATTTAATAGATTAAACAACTATTTGATTGATCAAGAAAATAATCTACAAATTAACAAGCAATAAAAAATAATATCTAGTTGCAGCCCCAAACCGTATTGCTGTAATTAAAACCCGGTCACATTCATCACAGGTTTACTCTGACTTTGGTTTCACATTCAATATGTTTGTTAATGTATGATATAGCTTATGAATCTATAAATAAAAGCACTTGTCTTGAGGAGTAAGGGCACATCTTTCACTCCAGGATACACATAGTGTAAGAGCTGATGGTAGATTCAGAGACAGAGTACTGCAGTGCTACAACGGGAATGTTTGCAAACTACATTAGGAGTCACCGAATGTGCTGCTTCTATGAGCACTGCCACTTTGCGGGATATGATCGGACCCTGAACGCATGAATATTGCCGTTGTTTTCTTTGTACATCACCTCCTTTTAAAAGGAATACTTTCCCCAAAAAATTACCATTTGTACATAAATAACTAACAATGTGTTACTTTGGGTTCTTGAATAAAACTTTGTTTTTCTGTCATGCCTCTACGAGGAACCAAGAATCTTATAACTGAGAACATTCTCAATTAATTGAAGTGAATAAGAGGTATGCACAACTATATGAAAAAATAATATCTTTACAAACTGACTCAATTCATGCAAACATGCATTTTCGCTCAAACCTTACTATTTAAAAGCTTCCTCTATAAACAGCTTTTATCCGTTCGTGTCTAGAATGTTTTAAATAATAAGGTTTAGTTCAAATGCATGCACTTGGGAAGTAGTGATCATACAGGATAAATAATAATTAGATTATACTGCACAAGTTGTTTAAAGGTGGGGTAGGTAAGTTTGAGAAACCGGCTCGAGATACACTTTTTGTTATATTCCATGGAATGCTCTTAACATCCCGATAGCAATGAATATCTGAAGTGCTTTGACCAAAAATCCATAAAAAAATGTCATCTGTGGAAGCCGTAGTTCTGTAAAAAGCACGACCAATAATTTTAGCCGGCACGGCTAAAATAACTGGACGGCCTACCTGCCTGTCAGCCTGTGCACAAACTTATCTCGTGCCCTCATTGGTCATGTGCGCGTTCGTGTGTGTTGGAGGAGGGGCTCTGTAAGGAAGTGGCAGATTTTTTCCAGCTGTGTATTTTCAAATTCTAGCACACTCGAGCTGGTTTCTCCAAAAGTACCTACCCCACCTTTAAGTGTTTTCGTCAACGGAAATGTTGATATCGTTTTGCTGTGTTTTAAACATTGAAATCAGTTTCTTCATGACTAAAAAACGTTTTTGAGGTTAATGTAAAGGCATGGAAGAGAAACATTGTCTTTAATAATTCAAAATAACATAGGGTGAATTATTGATACACAAATGGCCTTTCTTTGTGTGAAGCATCCCTTTAAAAATAGATGTTCATATTCTATGTGTCTGTTTTCCCTGTCTTTCCTATGTGCTTGACCCCTGTGGGGCTAACCTGAGCTGGTCTGTGTTCACCTAGGATGGCAGCTATCAGAGCCTCGGGTGCAGTCACCCCCCTGCCCGGAGACACCGGGCTGCGGGGGGTGAGCGGGCTGATGGTGGGGGACAACACAGTGTCGGGCGAGACCAGTCGCTCCTTCTTAGCAGCAGATGAGGGGGAGAGAGTCTGTCCTTCTTTGGAGCGAGGACAGAGGCTGAGGCCCTGCAGGGAGGGGAGGGGGTTGGAGGTGAGAGCAGGGGGGGCGGGGCTTCGGCTGCGGCGATGGCGGTGGTGGTGTTTGCCGTTTTTGGGGCTGGGGCTGCGGGAGCACGGAGCCAGCAGGACCAGAGTGCTGTCGTCTTCTGAGCTGACCTCCGAGCTGCTGGAGCGACGCGCGGTGGGGCTGTGGATGGGGATCCTGATCTGTGCAGGTAAGGGAAAAGGGGGTTCAATAGGTTGCAGTAATGAGATATAGCCCTGAAGAATGTGGGAACACATCTACATATAATTTCCTAAATAAAAGAAAAAAACCCTACATTATAAAAATACTCCACAATAAGTAAAAGTACTTCATTCAAACCTTTATTGAATTCAGAGTATAGAAAACAGATCTTACGAATTACACGCCCTTTCAGTGTTATTGAATAATTTGTTTTTCATTTTGGAGCCACATTTTAATGTTTTACATCGTTTAGGTGTAGTTAATTTACTTAATGTACTGTTATTCTATAGCAATGCATCACATTTTGTACACATAGCACATAAAAAAAACAATAAACAATATTTATTTGCAACAAGTAGCAATGGATGTTAGATAAAGCAGTAAGAGGTACATTATTTCCTTATACAGTGTAATAAAAACATATATAAGCAGAAACACTAAAGTACAGGAAAGTATCATGCTGAGTCATTTCAATCCAAGCTTATTATTAGATAACATACTTTTAACTGTATTTTAACTGATTCAAGTTAGTTTTGGTTCATGGGTTTGCCGTTTTAAGATCTTTGATGTGGTTTGCATAATTGTATTCTTTTAGTGCTTTGTTTTTATGTGTTTATGTTCTTTGATTGCTAAGGGACCCCAATTGTAACTTCGTTTTGAGAAGGGAAAATGTAATATAAGCATTTTAGGAAAATAAATATATTGTTATTAAATGAAATGATTGAAAACAATACATTTGTCAATCTAGTTGCTGAATTATTTTGTGTCGATTGACTAACTTTGTTGGAGTTTTGAAAAGGCCCCGTCCTGTTTAAACAGGATGATGCATCCAGTAGTAGTAGTAGTAGTAGTAGTAACATGGCTGCGTGCCTGGGAGTACACATACTTATGGCCTTATACTCTATGTGGGCATATTCATTAATAAACACATCATACCAAGCCGTGAGTGGCTAACCTTTTGTCCTCTGACTTTTGTTACCTGAATTGGCATTGACAGCCCAACAATGCTGTTCATGTTGTTACTGTAGTAGCCCAGGATGTATTCACCATCATCTCTCGGCAAATCCTCATCCGAAAATGTCACCTGGGGAACAAAAAAAACTGAAATAAAGTTACAATTTAAATTCAGCTGCAGCTCAAAGTAAATGGCATTTGAGTGTCTGACAAAAACCTGTGTTGTATGCTCTCCCTTGGCCCATATGTATGCCTGGTAATCTTTGTGATGTCTGAATCCAACCTGTTGCAGAATAACAAATGGGCATCATTTCAGATGCTGAAACTGGGCATTAAATAAAATAGATTTTTTTTCATGAGCTTTTGACCAAAATCAAACTGCGTGTTACCTTGTATATTGCTACCCAGTCCCACGAGCTGCGCTGATAAGTCGATGCAACTGTGAATCGAACTGTAGCTTCTGAGACTTTGCACCACTCCTTGTTTACCTGCAGCTCCACCAGGGGCATATCCACCTTGAATGGGAACTAGGAGAACGAGAACATAGACGTGAAAGGGACAGTTTGGGTTGTTTTGAACTAGTGGGGTTGAATTAGTTACTCATCCTCAGTAAGTGAATGAACGTTGGCACGCCCCAAGTTTAAAGAAATAGACAGCAGAACCAGTAGCATTGAAGTAACCATATCAGTTTTAGTTGAATCTATATTTAGAATTGTTTAACCTCTTCATCACACACACACACACACACACACACACACACACACACACACACACACACACACACACACACACACACACACACACACAGCGAGGTAAAATGACTGGTTTTGACAATGGTGGCTTTGAAAAGAGCATTGATGGATTTTAAGTCATGTTAAGATTGGGAAAAGGGCTGTCTGACGGCAAGATCAAGCTGTGAAAAACTGTAGGTATAGCTTAAACCTCAACTGATATTATTTTTAGGGTGTTTTGCTGCTACCCCTGTCCATACCAATACATTGCTTTGCTCTGGTACCCATCATTCTGACTGAACTATCCTTCTAAGTAAAAAAATAAGCTATACAAAGATATCATTAATGCATTTGTATTGCTGTATTTAAGATAAGATAACATTTGAGGGAATATCGTCTTACATGCAGTGAAAACACAGCAGAAACAGGCTTGTGGTCGCTGATGGTGTAGCCCATGTGACTTCTGTACACATGCTGTGTCACTTTAGTCGCTCCACCCAGCCAGGAGGTCAGACCCCGCTGCAGTGCTGCATTGTGGGTAGGAGCTGGGGAGCCGGTGCGACGAGTGCGCCAGAGGATGCGATCTGTCCAGGCCGGTTTCCTCTTCTTCGCACTGAAAAAACAAGAGTCAAAGAGGGGCTGAATTTCAGAGTGGAGTTTTTACAGGACACTGCTTATAGAAAATAAAATGTATGGAGTAAGTTTGGCGACTGGACCAACCTGGTGTCGTACGTGTGAGTGCCCACATCAAACTTATAAGTAGGAGGGAAATGTAAAGGTCCCTCAAGGAAGCCTTCAAGGACAGACTCTGTGTTTTTAGCCATGTTCAGCTGTAGAGAAGACAAATGAGGGGAGAATCAGAGCAGAGCAGTGCCCTCTGTTGGTTGTCGTTGGTTATTTGGAGACAAACAGGTGGTGTAAAGCCGACTAAAATAATTCATATGTGTGGGGCGAAATATTATATAAAATGCCTCACCTGATCTCGCTCCAACAGAAGAGGAAGCTTACTGCTCTCGATGGCACATTTCACCACATGGATGTCATAGTCCTCAATACGGAAATTTAAATCCCCAAACCAAAAAACGACACTGGGGACAGAAAAAACACAGAAAATACATTTTCATTTCAGCAGTTGTTTATTTTACTCTAAAAGGAAAATGTAAAGGTTCAATTGAATATCTAATTGATTTTATATTGGATAATATCCCAAGAAAGCTGTAGCATTGTTTGTCAAATAAATGGTCTAACTTGAAACCAAAGACACATTCAAGGTCAAATAATGAGACTTTAAAGCTCCATCAGGGGTAGGGAATCTCCGGCCTCCGGGCCGTATACGGTCCGCAAGACCATTTGGCCCTCGAGGTAATTTATAAACACACGCAATCTTTTTTTTAAAGAAATCTAGACCGCAAAATAATTAAACAAGCGAGTTTCTGTTTTTCCTGGCCAAGGTCAAGTTCCTTGAACACAACACAAGCCTAACGTGTCGTCTCGTGGTATGTGTCTCGTCAGACAGGGGTGTAGTGCTGACGGAGAGCAGTGCTTTTGAAGTGCTCCGGCACTTTGAAAAGCTGTACACATGCCGCAGTTTTTGCGGGGCTGTGTCTTTAGTTGTAAGCCCAGTGGCGATCTGTTCATCTGACATACTGATCATACAGTCAATAACGCCATAGAAATAATAGGATACATTACAGTACAAGTACTTCTGTCTTTGTGTGTGTGTGTGTGTGTGTGTGTGTGTGGCACGAGCGCATTTTGTTTGAGCGAGAGAGAGAGAGAGAGAGAGAGAGAGAGAGAGAGAGAGAGAGAGAGAGAGAGAGAGGTACCGGGGATTGTTAGCATCTGGTTAGCTAGCTATGCTAACGAATATAAGGAGCTTTTCTACAACCAGGTGAAAGAGAGCTCTCTCCTGAGAGGCTCAAATAACCTCAGCTTAGTGAGGTAAAGGCACACCTTTATATGATCATTATAGGTATAAAAAAAATAAGAGAATAGATGAAAAACAGGTAACATACTATATGACAGTAAAAAAAAGTTGTTACTAAAGACTACAAGAATACAGTTTAAAAGGAGAGTGATTTGTAAAATATCCATAAAGAAAAAGAAAATCTGTTTACAGTTCTGTTTCATATGGGTGTTGAGAGATGTATCCATACTGTAGATCTCTTAATGTTGCTCTCAAAGTGAACCAGATTGATGCTTTTAACTTCAACATTTAAAAACAAATCTTCCCGGGGGAGTAGCACCCGGACCCCCCTAGAGGAGGTTAGGCCCATCCTCCACTTAAATCATGTTCACATGGATAGGATACTAAATACATTTGCACACATCTTGTGTCCATATCTTTCTGTTTGGGTGGTCATGCCACAACCGTGCACGTGCATGCATGCGCGAGTCATGGTAAGATATCTGGATTAAGAGGTTGCTTTTTCTTTGCACAGCATGAAAGAAAGGCCAAATGAATGGGCTGTGATTTTTGTTTTTTTAAGCAGAGGTTGAGTTCAATAATTTTTACGGCCCTCGGAGGATGTTGTAAAAATATAAATGGCCCTTGAGAGGAAAAAGGTTCCCCACCTCTGCTCTATCATGTAATATGCCGCCCCGAATATGTATTTATTATTGGTGAGTACATTTGGTGCAGATAAATCTATTTTGTGAATGAAAGTGCACATTTGTTTTATGGATAATCAATCTTGAGCTACATTAATTAAACTCAAATGTCACCCACTCGTGGTCCAGCACCCCCGTGGCAGTGCCTCCTTCAAACTGCTGCTGCTGCAGGATGCTTTCAAAGTCCTCCATGCGCTGCTCCAGGTTCCTCATGTGAGCGGGCAGGTGACAGTTGAGGAAGCACACCGGGTGGCCGAACATCGTCATCCTCGCACTGACGCCCCCTTTATTCCCCTTAGAGGGAGGAAAAAAAGGGCAGAGAGAGGACACAATGAGAAATGGATCCCTTATGTATTACATTTTTATTCTTCCCTGGATTGTATCTGTGTTCAGGGACAAAGTCAGGATGTTTTTCTGCCCCCGAATCAAAGCACCAGACAGCCAGACAGCCTGCTGCTGCTGCTGCACTGACCTCAAAGAGAAGGAGACTGCAGCACACAGGGGTGATGCTGACATCAACACACAGGAAGGTCACACATGCATCCACGCAGAGGAGGGACCACACACACCACCTTTTAACATCCTACCCCCCCCCCCTTTGATAGAAACCCCCCACCAACGTTTCAATGTAATAAATCTCAGAATTCACAGCAGTGCCATTTGAAGCACGTACCCAATATCCCCCAAGACCTGTGCGCGTACTCTCTGTCTGAACACCTCTGAGGAAGGGAAGATGGCCCCATTTGGAAAAAACCAGCAGCAGCACTCCCTGCATACGCTGGGACGCCACCTAAACGGATGAAAAATAATATATCAATACGGTGAACTGCATTTAATAATGGCCAAAAGAGGATAAGAGTTAAAAAATATACAGTTTAACTCATATCAATACTATATTCTGTGTAATATCAGTATTTCATAGGTGAAGTCATGTGAATTCAAGCTTCAAGTTGGTTCACTTTCTTATTTTGAATATTTACCGTTTACTTTATTATATCTATACTGTTTTTTATTAATTGTATCTTGATTTGTTTGAATGATGCCTCCTGTTGCACTGTCCACTTTGCTGCTGTTGTATTACAAATGTCCGCACTGTGGGACTAATAAAGGATTATCTTGTCTTATTATGAGCATATTTACTGACCAAAACATATCCAAAAGGACTGAGTGTATCCATGCAACGCTCACTCCACTGGTCTGAAAAAAGAGCCTCCTTTAGCCGCTTGTTTATCATGGAGTTGACTTCCTGGAATCTGTGCGGTGCCAGAAAAGTAGAGAAATGTCATTAACAAGTGGAATACAACAGCAATAATAAAAAAGGAGAGTGATGGGCACATCAAGATGAACACAGATGACTGAGTGGGCACAGGCTGTCTCTCTGGCAGCGCTGAGCCTGTCGGAAAAACTTGCTTACCCGATGATAAACATGTCAACGCTCCCATCTGAAACATTTGGTCCGAACAGAGAAGTGATGTCATCTGGCGGGACAGCTGACCCCACATTCCACGTGACGATGTACACCCTTTCAGAGGATAGAAGCATGGGAAATGCCGCATTAGATCCAAGTACTATATATATATTATATAATGTAGGGTGTAAGAGGACATCATCCGTGCTATAATCCTCAGAGAAATAGCTTCCATCGGTGTTGCTGTATTTAGAAAAAAGATCCGCACAATTAAGCACCACTTGTACCTTGAAGATGACTAAGGTGTGTGTGTATGCGTGTGTGTTGGAAAAGAGACAGAGATGGAACTAACTGTCCTTCAGAATCACCAGCAACACTTTTTTATCAAATAAACAAACATCTCACTATGGTTGTACTGACATTTATATTAATTGATTTTAAAATGTCAAAAAATTATGAAAGATGTCAAACACAGGTTCCCAAAATACCTGGTGGTGTCTACTCATGTCTAAAGTTCAAATCCTGCACAGATTCAGTTAATTATTGTAGAAGAAAAACAACACACTGTGACATTTAATATCTGGCATATTCACTTGAAGTATGACTCAAACGTTTAATTAGTATTCAAATAGTTGCCAGTTTATTTTCTTCTGATTCGCTAAACAATTAATCAACTATATTATCCTTAAATCAAGCCTTAAAATTGTGCTGTTCTCTATCCAGATTTATGATTTCTGCAGTGACATGAAAACAGTGCAAGCTAAAGATATATATAGTTCTTTTAAACAGGACAACATTGGTGTTTTGGGATGTTTTACCTAAATAAAATGTTCAAAGGCATATAACATCTAAGATTTTTCCCATTGATTTCAGTAGTCTATAACACGAAAGTTAATGTATTGTACAGTAAAAGGACATTTGTTTGAGACTGAAACTATCGGAGGCAAAATGTACCCTTCTTACTCTCAAATGTTTTTAGCGTTGCATTTCATGCATTTATATCTTGTGAAATATTGTGTGGCCTTGGTTTAAAAACTGACACATGAAAAGGTGTGTAATTATCTTAATGTGTTGTTGTTTTTGTTATTAGTTTTCATCAATGTTATCATCATCATGTTTTATTTCTGAATACAGGCTGCTTTAAAAACTCTCCCTGTTGATATTTAGATCTGAGTGTTGGCTCTAGAACAACATTTAATGTCAAAGATTGGCTAATTTTGGCTTTTACTTTTTTTTAAATGTTCTTGTTTTGTCCTTGTTTGCTAACAAACACACAACATAAATCATAGATATGCTTTTCAGCAGAAAACTCTCAAATCTTGACGTTCTGTCTATTCAAGTAAAAACTGTCCCTACTTACATCCCTAATAACTGCTAACATGCACTTGAATGTAATGTACTTGTGTATTTCTATATAATGATATATGTTTTGAGACAGAATGACTGGCTGAATCTGAATACTAAATAGGTATTTTCTCTTTCATATTAACACAATTTGGACAAAGGTAAGCTGAGTTTACACAGGCAGCAACTTTTGCCCCTTTCACACCAACGCGGTTCCAGGGCCGGTTCGGAGCTAGAGCCTGATAAGCAACGTTTTTTCCTGTTCACACCACAGCGGAGCCGGCTCTAAGCACCAACAAATTATCAGTCTAGAAGCAAGAACCGCGTACATCACGCTTACGTCGGAAGGGGGCGAGATTAACCTGAGCTAACAGTTTATGGCGAGTACGGCAAATAAAAGTTGTAACAAATAGTAGCGCTGAGCAGAGTGACAGTGAATAGTTTACAGTGGCCTTTGCCGTGTGAGTTAACGGGAGAATAAACTCTGGTGGAAGAGCAGCACTGCAGCGGTCGGTAAATGCCGCTGAAACACATTAATAAACAATGAACCACGGCACTCTGCAAAAGTATAAGGTTGGAGAAGTCGTTATTTAATTTAATCTGGCTTGGTATGATTAAAAGTAACTCGATCATCGACCCGACGCAGTCCCCCGTTGTTGTTGTGAGCGCCGTTGGGGAGAAAATCAGCGACGTAAACGGTGACGTCATGACGCAGCAGCGGCAGCACCAGTCGGGCTCTGGGCGGTGTGACCAAAACCGATTCCGAACCAGAAGAGCACTAGCACGGAGCTAGAACGGGAACCGCGTTGGTGTGAAAGGGGCATGTGAGTGAGCGGGCATCACAACTAAAATATGCCTCTGGGAAGCCTGCCAATAAAATGTGGCTGTGTCACTCTGTCACAAAGCTCTTGGCAGCCTTGATGCATGTGACATGGTCTGGGACACATCAGTTTCCTTCCAGCCGCTGACTGCAGCTGCATTTAGACACAACAGGGAACATTCACAGTACTCAATCCTTTCTAACCAGTGGATGAAGAAATGTCTACCTGAAGTCATTGTTCTCTCCTGGCTTCTTGGGCTGCTCTTGGCTCGGTGAGGAGCCCCCAGGTGAGGGGGTTCTCTGTGGCTGAGGGCTGAGGGTGTTGGAGGAGCTCAGGTAAGGCTGGCTGGTGAAAGGCTGAGGGCTGCGGGGGCTCTGAGGACTGAGGCGGCAGAGGGAGGCCTCAGTCTGCGAATGTGACGTGTGGTTGGCACTCTGAGGTCCTGGGATACAAACCGGGATCAAATCTATTTTCTTGGAGAGGTCCTCTAAGATTCTGGGAGACTTATAAGCAGGTTTTGTTCCCAAAGCGGTGGGTCTCGGGCGGCTTATGCTCATCAGTGTCGCTGCAGTGGACCCAGACTTTGGGTACCCTGACTGCATTTCGTTAGTCACTCTGACAGCCTGCATGGGGCTCAATAAAGACTGTTTCTTGGGCTCCTCTGATTGGCTGAACAGCATTGGTTCCTGGGTTGTGAGCTGTGGAAGTAAACCAGGACCGAATCCGATCAACGCACAGGGTCCAGGCTGCATGTTGGGCCCAAAATGGTCGGTGCTGATTGGTTGCTGCTGCATGATCAACCTGCAACAGGAAGTATGAGAATAATTATAACAAGAGGTGGAAGAAGTACTCAGATTTTAAAATGAAGTAAAAGTAGCAATACTACAGAACAGAAATGTAATTAAATTAAAGTAAAAGTCCTGCATTCAAAATGTTACAAAGAAAAGGGCATCAAGATTTACTTAAGGTTCCAAAGGTAAAATCATTCATTATACTGAATAGCCCATTATTATTAATGACTGATGCATTAATGTATTTGATTTTGCAGCTGGTAAAGATCTTATTTAAATACAGATGGGTAGCTTGTTGATTTTGTCAACAGGGGATGAATAAAGTCTTACCTTAAGCTAAAATAATAGATCAGAGTTGATTTGTTGATTATTATCAATAAAGTAACATGTCACACATTATATGAGAAACTGTAAAGGACAAAAAAGTACAATATTTGCCTCTGAGATGTAGTAGAGTATAAGGTTATATTTAAATTGTCAAATACAAGTACCTCCAAAAATCTACTATAGTATTAAATGTCACTTGACACTGCTGATTACACACATTCTTCTCCAAAGGGTTGTAAGGAAAAGACACATTTGACATTCAAATTAGATAGTGTGGCTAGCAAAAAGCTCCTCAACATCAATCAGTGAGTCGTTATTTGGAAACAGGTGTAACAGCAGAGCGGAAGTGGCGTAAATGTATCACATCATACTGAGCAGCTGTCCTCTCCACATCAAGCTGCCCAGACATCACCGATGACGTTATCATGAGTAAGCACTCGGGCTGAGGCGGAGACAGAAGAAGTGCTCGGATATAATAATAAAGTGAAAGTGTGAATAATTATCAGTGTATAAATCATCTGTGAGTAGGTGAATACTTCTATGTATTCTCAAGGTAAAGTACACAACACGTATAAGCATCATATTGATGGCACTGGATTAAAATTAAAATGTACAAAAATGTGCAAGCATTTCAATTATAACTGGTTAAGGTGTGGCTATTTCTAACCACTTTATATAATGCTTTATTAAATCATGATTGATTATATGTTATATTTTGAATCTGTAAGGAACTGGTAGCCACAGCTGTCAGATAATTATAGTGAATTAAATGCACTTAGTTATTACCGACCCCTGATCTGAGGAAATAACTTTGTACCTCCGACCTGGATTATATCCTTGTTGCCTGGCAACGTTAATTAGCCTCCTGACCCTTTTACAGAGCAATAGACTGCTCATTATGGGATGCCATGGGAGTGTACATCGCGCCACAGCAGCTGATACCGGAGCACATCAGACAATGTCAACACTCTCTGTAGGTCACAAGGAGGAGGAAGACTCCCACCATTTTGTGTGTGTGCCCTCAGAAATGATACACCTCTGTAAATCATTCATGACATGCAAATGAGTATAACAGAGAATCTCATGTGACCACAGTAGTAACCTGGAAAACAGAGCTCTGACTAATGGTCGTCAGAAGGGGTTGTAATGAATTCACTTTAAAAGTAGAAACTTTGATAGATGAAGTGCCCCCTCAGTGATCCAGTTTCACATCATAGTCCATGATCCTGCAAGTCAAGGGAATGACAGCTTCATAACACCAGGCTGGACTCATGGAAAACACCACATAGCAAAATGTCTCATTCAAAATCAACACACACCGCAGCTGCAATAAAAACATCCTCATGAAAACCTCAGTCTTACCTTTCATGCGTTTTCCTTTTTTACTTTCTTATTTCCAAGGTGAACCGCGAAGGTGATTTCACAGAAGGGATCAGCATCAGTCTCCTTTGTTTTTTCACACGTCTATCAACGCGACAGAGCTGTCACATAAAAAGGTTTGGGATTTTTAGATGTTCGGTCCGGAGACCCAGCAGCAGCCCGCCTGCAGGACCGAGGCTCCCCGTCGGTACCGCGGGCAGCGAGCGTGTCCGTGTCGGTGCAGAGGACTCCGGCTGTCAGGACAGGGGGAGGCGGTCACGGTTGATGTTTCCGGTGTGTTTCATCTTTATGTAGCCTATAAACAACGACACGACGGCTGGTTATAACTCATCCTACTAATCACTGTCTCTACCGTCTACAGCTGGCCGGAGCAGATGAGCACTTCTTGGTCATCCACCTCCAGCACACCGGCCGTTCTGCCACCCATCTCTCTCCCTCCCTCCCTCGCTCTGTGCACTCTGGGTAAAATATGAAGGCACCTGAGGGGGCGGGCAGAGCATCAAAGGCAAAACAAAAATCAGCCGCCAAAAAGGGCATCAGGCCAGAAATGATTGAGCATCTGTCCTTTCACTGACGCGCGCATTAATCTGGCACCAGTGCGTCACTCGATGGGGGAATTGATCAGCATGCCAATATGTACATTTCAGTCTGTGCTCTCTTTGGTATGCAATCAATAAATGTATTCTGCAATTAAAACTACTTTTGATCTTGGTGTTTATACAGGGACATTTCTGTAAAGACATATTTTTTGATTCGATGTGGTGTTTTTTTTTTATTTCATTGAGTTTTTCTTAATATTGTCCTGATTTATAAAAAAATATATTTACACTGAAATACCATCACATTTTAAACAGAATATGACCATCAAGGCGAAATTATCCGTAAAAGACTGGACCTATTTACCCAGATGTATCTTTTTGTCTCTTTTCCCCCGCTACATCTTTACATTTCGAGCAATTTTTTCCAGTTTTGAAACAGAACATCTCCCTTGGAAGTTCCAATGTAAAGTAAACATTATTTAGCACACGAACTGTGCAATTTGTCAAAATGCCCGTTGCAATTATGATTACTAGTGCAGTGCCTCTTCAGGAGGTGGCTGTTTGGAGACCGTGCCCATTTTGAGTTGAGCCTATTGTTTGGACCCCGGAAGTGCTTGACAAGTTGTCATTAACCATTTATCCAATCGAGTTGGCACTCAACACTGCACTCCCTTGGGTAATCAGCATTAAACATGTTGATTGGATCATCGTTTTTTGAAAAATGCCAGGGACAGTGATACATATAGAGTGCACATCTGGAGAAAGAGATTCCTTATTTTATATTTATATGATGCTGCTACAGCGCCACGTGTTGACAAAATGACACAAAATTGGTCATAGTCGCTCAGACAACATACTGTATCTACACTCGTCTCATAAAAATGGTTGCAGTAGCGCAAAACATACAGGATATATGACGTTTATGGTTATAAGGGCCAGCTAGCAAAACAGTCAGGAACATCAAAAACACGAAACGGTGACTTTTCCTGGTTTGGTCAAAAGATGTCCTGTATCAAAACTGGTGACCATTGCTCAAGATTTAAAGAAGAAAATCTAGGTGGCAATAGGTTCAGGCGAGGCTTTCACGGATAGATTCAACTTGATGGACAGATTTTGTTTTTGAAACTTACGGTCGAAAAGTTTCAGGCCAATTTTGTTGTTATAATTTTACCATCTGGCCAAAAAACACCACATCTGGCAATGCACTCCCTTGGGGCCCCGGCAACCAAGTGTGAAGTGGAACGGATGAATGTGATGCACCTACAAACACACAGATTCCTCACATAATAGTTAGATTAAGAGTTATTGTTGTATTAAAAAGGAGTATTCCAGCCATTTTAGTATCAGGGGCCTCACAAAAGGCAGAGGATAGAAGAAGAAGTGAGATAGTCTCTAGATAGTGTTTGTCAAGCTCATAAAACACTGGATCCTACAAATCACATTTCTTGTCATTGAACGCCTCTTTTAAACTAATAGACATTTCTAACAGGTTTCCCATTATAAATGTAAAGTCTGAAGCCCAAGCCAAACATATATCAAAGCTATCTAATACAAATTAGAAGAGTCTTAAATAATACATGCGTACTTGCTGAATAACGTTTCAAGGCAAATAAAACCCTTGGTATCTACAGTACAATTAAGTTTAGCCATCAGTTATTTAAAAAAAAAAGAACAAAGTGAATAATGGATGGATTTTTATTAAATGCATTTTTAATACTCACACCCTCAGGCCCTCAACAGCATCATGATAAAATGTGTTCCCAGAGTCTCCATAGCTGTGACTGGGATTAATGCAGATGTGTAACCTCAGAGGAATGCACTTATCCCAAGCGCCAGCTGTCCACTGAGAGCAAGAGTCCTTTCTAACACAACCACACAAAGGCTTCACATAAGGCACTGTGCATTTACATAAGCCAGACACATTAAATACATAATATCAACTCAGACAAAATGTAAAAAGGTGCTTGGTATTATCTTTTTGATCTCAGCTTGTGCGTGTTGATTGTGTTAATTATAAAATCACAGCTGATTATCAAAGCCTTTCTGAGTCTACAGTCACTTTTTGGTTTTGACCAGGCCTTTCTCCACCAGGCAGCGGTAAAACTCTTGGATGTACGTGTACACACACTTCCAGTCAGGCTCTTTCATCCGGATTAAGTCATCAGGGTCCAGCAGGGGGGGGCAGCCAGCCAGCCTCCTGCAGACAGACACAGAGACAAAACCACTTGAGACAAACTTAGATAAATAACTTTGTTTTGAACTGCAAGACAGGGCTGGACTGTGTATCAGACAAGATGCTCCTGCTTCTTCATATAAGGGAAGACGGCTCACTCTGCGGTGCTGAAGGCCAACTCGAAGTTTTCCTTGGGCTTGGTGGGGTTTAGGGTGTAGTACTCGAACGCATCGGGGAAGAAGCGGTGCACCAAGGCGCAGAAGGCTATGCCGTCCTTCCAACTTGAGGAGAAGTTTCGGATGTTCACTCCCTGAATTGTTTCAGTTTAGGAGAAATAGTGACAGAGAATGAAACGTAAGGGGCAGAGCTATATTTAGCTCCACTGGGCAATCATTTACAGACAAAAAGACGTAGGGCCTGTTTACCTCATATGGCTCTGTTTTGGCCCTGCACCAGTCCAGAAGCATCTGTTTGACATTTTTAATGTTGGGTGCTGCAGCAGGAGAAGGACATTTCTGGGCTGAGGCTAAAGCGGGACTGGCCTTGCTAAGGAGAAATAAAACAACAAATGCTTTGCTTGATAAATTTAATTTTGTCCTTTTTTGGGTGAAAGACTAAACATATGAAGACTTTGCTTTGCAACCATCAGGCTCCTATTAGAAATGTCATTAGGATTTACCTCACAGTTAACATTCAACTCAACTTTATTTATTCAGCACTTTTCATACAAGCATGTAGCTCTTCACAATGCAACATTAAAACAGCACAGAAAATAAGTAACGAATGCAAAAATTACAACAAAAAAATGTATCAAGCAAGCAAGACTAAAAATTGCAACATTTAATAACACAATGTAAGATATAACAAAGACACTAGAATAAATAAAAGCAAGGGATACAAATTGTTTAGTTACTTAAAATACAATTTCAGTTGAGTTTTTTGTTGTGATTTACCTGTACTCCATGTAAATATGAGTTTATATTCTGAGCAAAGTGCATCTGTTAATGAAATAAGCCAATACTTAAAGTATTTAAAAAAGGACTGAAAAAAAAGGCATCAAATAACAACTAAATAAATAATTAAGGTCAGGCTAGAAAAGATGTGGTTCCTTTTATGATTATTTCCAAAACATCAAGTAACATTTTGTGGATCTGGGTACTTAAAGGTACAGTGGTTGGATTTAGTGGCCTCGTGAGTTTGCAATACGGTTTGGGGCTGCAACTAGATATTATTTTTTATTGCTTGTTAATTTGTAGATTATTTTCTTGATCAATCAAACAGTTGTTTAATCTATTAAATGTCCGAAAACAGTGAAAGACGTTAATGATTGTTTTCCAAAGCCCAAGATGACGTCTTCTGTCCGCAACTGATAAATCTGTCGCGGCAAACTGATAAACAAAACCGAATTATGGTTTCCTTAGAAATCTTCTAAAACCAAATAATTGATTTTCCTAATAGTTGTCATTTCATTTAATCTTTGCAGCTCTAATATGGATCCATGTAAACAGTCCTTTGTGAAAATAAGGACCCTTGACCAGAAGCATAGATGGTATCATAGTTCACGTGTGTGTGTGTATGTGTATGTGTATGTGTATGTGTATGTGTGTGTGTGTGTGTGTGTGTGTGTGTGTGTATATCTGGGATTAAATAAGCGCTATAACTGTTCCCAGACATTACAGTTATTGACACCAAACATGTCAAACTGAGAACACATTTGACTCACCTTCCTGCTGATGGAGAGGCCTGGCCTGACGTCTCTAACAAGATGCAGAGAATCAAAAGTCAAGAATCTTCATTGTAAAAAAAAAACATAGAAGTATCACAGAGTGTCCGACATCTTTATAAACTCACTGTTTGTTGGAGGCTGCTGGTTCATGGATGCTCTGCCGATGCTAACAGCCCCCCCGGTGGTCCCTCCTTTACTCAGCCCCTGCTGCCTCAAGTCCTGCTGCCTTGACCCTCGATCCTGCTCTCGCTTATCTGAGGAGAGAGGAGTGGTGGGACATTTAGTAATAGAGCAGTTCATTGCAGATTCTATCATGGTAATTTGCATCAGATTTTACCTCTCTTTTTCTTGAGCAGGTCCCTTAATGCAGCACGTAAGATCTTTCTCTCTTCAAAATCTTTTGCATTATCCAGCTTAAAAGACAATTTGAGAAATGTTCAGAGTGTCAGAGGGGTGAATAAATATCATCAGCGAGACATATTTAATTAAAAGTCACACATCGGCTCACCATCTTGTTGAGAACTTCTTCATCTTCAATAGCAGACAGTTCTCCCGTGGCCACTGATCCATCATCAGTTTTTGATTCCATTTCTTGAGAAGCAAATCAACTAGTTGGTGCAAAAACACACTTAGGGTTTTGAGAAGGACAAAAAACATATTAATGCAAAAACTTGGTCTGAATAACTATTGACAAGGTTTGAATCTGTTCCACAGACGAGATACTTTGTGTTGTTGCGTGCAAATGTCACGAGCGGAGCATACAATCACACTGTGATCTTTCAAATATAAACCGTTGTGTGAGTCACAAAGTGAGCAGCCTTGGAAGGAAATGTTTGTCTTACTGGAGAACCTCTCAGTGCATCTCAGGCCCCGAGTGCACCAGAGAAGGGCCAAAAACACGTACAAATATAGTAATGTGGCGGAACAAGACCCGAGAAGAATCTGATAGCAGCGTACAACTATGTGCTCAGACACAGGGGGAAAAGGAGTGGCAGGAAGCGTAAAGCACAACATGGGAAGAATAAAGCAATACAAGAGTGAGAAATAGACCCTGATGATGTGTGTGATGAGGTGCAGTGTCACCCACCTGTTTCCAGGGTGCAAACTTTTGTGGCTCCTTAGAAAGTGTCCAGCCTGTCCTGGGTCCTTCAGAGTTTACTGGAGAGCTGTGAGATCTCAGCCCTGACATCACACCTCACACCGCAGCGCTTCATAAGGATGCATGTTTGGAGAGCGAGTGGAGGCTGCTTACATGAACCACCCAAGATGGGAAGGAGGACGAGGAGGAGGAGGAGGAGGAGGAGGAGGAGGAGGAGGGGAGATGATTCTGTCCCCCTCAGCAGTCTCTCCTCCTCTAGTCCCTGCATCCTCGATGATGTCATGTGAAATGTTGTGGGGCAAAACTTTTTTTTTTTCTCCACACTTTTTAACGCTTCATCTGGAGGCTGCAGCGTGAAACTCCTGTGACTGGGAAACAACGGGTTAAAAAGGTTGAAAAAAAAAGTGAGGAGCACTGCCTTATTCAGGCAAAAGTCTGAGCAGTGACCACTCTGTTTACAGAAACAGAGGAATCCGAGGACAGGGGGCGTACACACACTAACACACACACTTAAAGAAACACAGTTAGCAAGTGACACTTTTTAACGACACCAGTCAGTATTTAGTATTTAAATTCATGCAGATTTAGAGAACAATCTAATAAATCGGAATTACACAAATTGCTCCACCTAGTGGTCAACATGCACAGCTGCTTAAAAATAACATTTGGATGTCTAACAACAAAATGTATTTAACAAAGAAAAAGTACTATGACAACTGTTAGGTTGAACTGCAGGAGATTTGTTCACATTATAAAGATTGAAAGTTTAATCTGTAATGAAAATACCCTTAAATTACAGCTGTAATTTGTACAGATTTCATCAACTCAATGTGGTAAATGTATGTAATTTAATAGTTTCACTTGTAAATGGCAAAAAAAAAACGAAATAATTAAAAGGTAAAATAGCATTTAACACCATCAGGTCATAAACATGTATCTAGAAGTTAGATATTTCATTGACATTTTTGAAAAACTAGGATAGAAATATGAATTTAAACTGTAACTGTAAAACATTTGAGTCAAAGAGGTTGTTGGTTTGGTAATTGTTATTGTATTTTTTATTTCAAGCATCTGCAGTGTTTATGAAACGGCCATTTCTTTACCCCTCAACAGAAGCACCAGCCGCTGTTGGCATTCAAAGTATGGATCAAAGAAATGGACAAAAGGACAAATCAAATAACTTCTGTCTTATCTACAGAATGTCCAAATAAGGCATGAGGCAAACGCTTCATTCTTGAATCAGTTAAACCAGCCATATATGACTATAAAATACACTACTATCATAAAATAACTATGTACACCAGACTAGCTTTTCAAACAGTTTAAACCAGTATTTACACAGGAACCGTAGGCTTTGAAGGCAGCGTCTTCGTAACCTCTTTAAGTGCAACAGTTTCTTTGCCCCACACTCATAATCTACTCAACATGATGTACATGAAGGCAAGCAGCCACACTCCCACAAGTTAGTGATTGTTAAAAGAGGTAAAAACTAAAAGATGGAGTCCTTGGACACAACATGAGAGTGTTTTGAAATATGTTCTGTGGCCTACTGGACACAGTGAAATCATTCACATGCTGCACTTCTATTGTGGTGGGTGTCAAGCTGCTTGATCTCAGTCTAGTAGTTCATAATAAAAGAACACAGGGCATAACAATTCCTATTTAACATCTGAGGTATTCAATCATGTAAACCCAGTGAAATGATCTGCTGTACACAATCTTTTAACTAGTTTTGAAATATTACACCCACAAAACTATTTATCAAACTGCAAAATAAAATATTTTCGGGAGTATTCTCCCAATAATTGACTGAGGGAAAAGTGTACATATGATGTTATGTAATTGCATGAATGGCATCCTTGATATTTTAAATATGGAATAGTCAAATATGTAAGCAAACAATGCTGCCTGCAGTTATTTTTATGGCAAACTATAGAGAAAACGTGGCGGGTGTCATAAATTAAAGGAACCTTGACGTATGGCTTAGTTGTTGTCGTCGTCTTGTGAGAAATCAAACTGCCAGTGAGCAATGAACGTGTTGGATTGATGACAGAACAAATATTTCGCACAGTGGTACCAGAAATCTTATAGAGACATTTGGCACAACGTACATGTCGGAGGGATCGTAACAGACTTTACTGTAATGTTAAAACGTATGCATGTGCAAGACACATCAGGACCAACCAAAGAAATATTAAAAGCGGGATAAAATGTGTTTTGTCACAAAATAAAATAATGTCAGTAACATGATTTTCAAATACTGAAAAAAACTAAAAGATAACACTGTTCAGCAGAGGTCAGTTTTTCTGGAAGTGTTCCCAACTTTAAGAAGATGTCCCCGGCAGAGAGGGGAACATCAAACCTAACAGAAGATTGGATTTAAGAAGCAACCTTTAAAAGGACACCTTAATTGTATTTCCCCTTATCTCTTCCACTGGGACGCGGCAGCTAAAGTTGAGTGACACTCCTTAGAGAACTCGTGAACCTAATTATTGAGGAAAGCTACAGCGAGGAGGAGGAGCGCGCTGATGGAAATAATTGGACTTATTCTACAGAGACTGCCTGAGAACAAAATCTAGGCCTCAACTGCAGCCACACTGAGGGCGATATGTGAGGACAAACCATGCAGACCTCTTTCAGTTCAAATGTGCTTCAGTAGAGGGAAAGAGTTGAGAGAGTTGTCTCATTGCACAATTACGTTGGCTTTGTTCATCGTTGTAGCTTCTGCCTCTGAATATAACGTTTAGTGTCCTTATCTAACAAGCTGCCTGCTTCACATAACAATACAAAGAAAAAAGAGAAGCTGCCAAAACCCCAGTCCCTCACGTGGCAGGGCCAGGTGAATGTCAGGTCACAGTACCATTCAGATATATTTTTAGTACAAATTGTGCCGTTCAGATTTTGACGGAGTGATACACACCAGGCTCTCTGCAGGATCCACGACCGCCGCCCAAAACACGCTCAGAGCCCTCTGTCAATGAGAACATGTTCACAGTGGAGGAGTATGAGTGACAGTGTGAATACCTCGTGAGATATCAGACCGTTTGGTGTGCTTATGCATGCATATACCGCTACAGGCTATGGTTGGGTGACCTACAGATGAAGGAGAGAATTCAACCATCACCATGACAAGTAAAGGCAAGCTCTTCCTCTCCAAGCACTCGTCTTCAGTGTGACCAGAGAAGAAATTAAGGAGGATGTTAAGTCAAATCGAATAACATCATAAGTGATTATGGCCTTATAAGGTCACACTCCCTCTGCTGCTGCTCGAAACAAACGGTAGACAACTACAGGAAGAGGCTTTTCATTTCATCCTTCAACTTTCTTTATTCTCTCCTTCATCCTCTCTGTTCAGTCTATCTTATCCTCCCGTTTCCCGTCTGCTCTCGGCTGAGGGTGTGTCGGTTCAGATTCACTGGTTTTGTCCACGTCCTCTCCGCTTGTAGTGTGAGAATCCACATGTTCAGACTTTTCAGCTTTGGCTTTGCGTGCTTCCATGAAGCTGACGATGTACTCTGAGTTCTGATAGATGAGCATGCCGGATAACGTGAGCACGGCGCCGGCGCAGCTCAGGGCGGAGAGCTCGCTGCCGAAAAGCAGCTGAGACAGCAGCAGGTTGCCCACCACGCTCAGGTTGCCCAGGATATGCAGAGTGACGGCGGAGGTGAGCGTGATGACGCAGCAGCTGGCCAGGTTGTACATGACTGAGCCCAGGCAGCTGAGCAGGATGAAGACCCACAGGTGGCAGTCGTAGTGAAACGGGGACTCCAGCACTGCCCAGTTCTCTAAGGCCAGAGCGGCCACCGCCAGGATGCAGAAGCTGGGAATGGACATCAGGTAGAGCAGGAAAACAGAGTTGATCTTCTCCTCCTGGAGTAAGATGCCTGAGGAGACAGACACATGTTTTCAGCCATTACAAAACATGACGGTGTTGATTGACTTTGATAGTGTCGTGTGTAGACTTTGAACAACTCAAGGTCTGTTATTTGTTCCTCATATGCTATTGTGAGGGTTACTTTACATTTCTACTGGGCCCTGTTACTTCTAAAATCTATGTAGAAACTAGAAAGCGTTTGATTGGACACAGTCAGTGGTAACATACAGTAGAAATAGGTAATACATGTATTTAATGAATGTTTTTTTATCCAAGGCATTGTCTTATAAAATTGATATATAAAGAAAACCTATCTGCTGTGGTTGCAGGTGACCTATTTACCCGACAGAGTTAAATGTACACTGTATTTGGCAGATGAGAGGCACTTGTGTCATTCCTTTACAAAGAGTAGTTAACTAATAAGGTAAGCTGTAACAACAAGCGTGAAAGAGGATTGCTAATATGCCATTTTCACAACCTTAGGTAACACAGAAATATCTGTGGCGGTTAAAAACATGAACGTGTTTATTGACATGGACAGTGTCATGTGTAGATCAAGTCTGACTGTAAGGTGTCCGTCATTCACTCGGGGTCTGAACTTAAGTTTTACCTCCACTGCCACTGTGGAGGTAACGGGTGTACAGGTGTGTGTGTATGTATATATATATATATACAAATATGTATATCTTGTTATTTAATTATATATATATATATTTGTATTCTTTTTTCTTCATGATTGGGGAAACAGTATTTGGATCTCTCTGTCTTCACACACTAACTGAAAGATTCACAATAAAGTTCGCTTGACTTTGAACTGAACATTTCTACTGGCCATTTCTTGTTTTTCATCTGGCGCTTCCAAAATCAATGTTGAAGGTTTTTGTTCTTTATACACATTATGACTTACATTTTTAATGTTTCTTTAAAAAATGACATTTGTAATTTAAGGATAACATATCAGCCATTGTGGAAGGTGACCTGACACAGTCAAAATGTACAAGTGCTGATTATACTCTTATATTATAGGTTAATAAATGTTATTTTACTTGTATTCTTTGTATTCTTGTGTATATTGATATTCCATTTGTAATATCTGTGTTTCTGTTTATTCTGTTACTGCCATGACAGGTGATTTCCCTACGGGGATAAATAAAGGCCCATCTTATCTTATATTCCCTGCGTGCACTACAAAGTGTGCACTACAAAGCGTGCACTACAAAGTGTGCTCAAGAGAACTAAAATATAATGTAAGAACAAAACGTCTTTTACACAACCTTAGGTAAACACAAAAACATTCGCAGCAGTTACAAAAATGATCCAAAAGACACAGAAAATGTCAAAGACAAAAGTATTTTTTCTTAAACTGCATTTCCTACTTTGAAGAAATTGTTAAGCCACTCAAAAGCCTGTAAAATACCCGAAGTACCTATATTTTAGTGGAATAATTACAGAGGGTTCCAGCATGCTTCTAATCAAAACAACAAGGACAGACTCTTCTCTGTGGACTCAAGCCAAAGCTATGAAGTTGTCTGATAAGCAGGAAATTATGCAAATCCAGTTTGGAACCTTACATGTATCATGGGTCTGGACAAGTAGCACATCTATACAACATCTTTATGTTTTAGTAAGAACTCACGTCACTGTTAACACTTCGAAGTGTTCACAGCTAGTGGCAAACCTGGGGAATGGCGTTAAACAAAAACATGAGCACTACCAAAGTGCGTCAGAGGTAAACTTATAAGGGAATCAGAGTTACAACAACAACAACATGTGGAGATGGAAATAGATTTTGGAAACTTGAGACAACCTCTAGATCAGGGGTTTTCAAAGTGTGGGAAGGTGAGCCTCCCCCAGAGAACATAAGAACAGAACATTATTGCTATTATTATTATTATTATTATTATAATTGTTGTTGTTGCTATAATGCAGGTGTATTCAATTGCATTTCAAAGAGGTCCAGTAAGAGAAAATGTCATTAAACGCTCTGTTTTCGCTGTCTACCTTTCTCTTTTTTGAGCACGCCATTTGAAATGACTCGGAGAGTTTCTCTCTTCTTGTCTCGTCTCTGTGTGTGTTTGAATCTATCGTGCTGACTCACTGACTGCACCCATTTCATTGGCTGAGTAGCGTCACCTCCTTAAAACATTAAACAATCACTTTTTTTAAACCTGTTTTCAACATCGTGGATAAATCCTTATATGCTCCCGGCAACACACTGAACGTCAACTTTGCCTCCTTATTACACTCACCCCTACTTTAGTGGGAAACCCGCACTCACACAGGTAGGTGGAGGCAGGGGCGGACTGGGAGTAAAAATCAGCCCTGGAATCTCACCCAGCCCAGCCCACACCAATTGGTAGAGCACGGTAGTGTGCTGTCAATGGGGGGGGACACTCTGTCGCCTGTCAGCCTAACTCAAATGATGCCGTTTAAAAACATAAAAAATAAAGGGCGGTCCCGGCCGTCAGCGAACCGAGCTGGCCGACGACGGACCGCTGACGGACCGCTGACGGCCGGGCGTTCTGTGATTCTCTAGAACACACACATGGCCAGTCCGCCCCATGGTGGAGGTGAAGGGAATGAGCTCTTTTACAGCCTTTTTGGCGAGTTGGGGGAACTCGGTCTCCACAGACAGCCAAATGTGTGCAAGCGTCACTTTACTCATCTTTTTCTCATTATTTTTTTCTTACGCCGCCGCCCCCCCCCCCGCGTGGGGCGCCTCACACTTTGAAAACCGCTGCTCTAGATCGTTTGGCAATTCAAATCAAAGGTAATGTGCAGCAGCTTTAACCTGCTGGACCTTGTTTATACATTCTGCCTCCAAATCTAAAAGCAGGACCTCCTTTTTTAACTTTATTAACTTTTTTTGAAGGCAGAAGTTACATTGCCTGTTAGTGAAGCACATGTTTACAGTCTTGTACTGTGTGTCACTGAGCAGCTACACCGGATTATTTGAACTAATGACCCGATAGTCACAAGCCTGCCTCAGTAATCGTGACGCGAGGTTCCCCCTCCCCCCGGCTCCTCGAGGTTCCCCCCCCCGGCTCCTCGAGGTACCAAGTATGTAGCCTTCCAACCTTCTGGGAAAAACTGCTAAAGTGTTACATAACCATTTAATACAGGAGCTCTATATATACACCTTCATGTATGTTGAGAAACTCATTACTTGCTTTTTTTTTCTCTGGTAACTACAATGTTATGGAGAGTAATTACGTGAGAAAACCTTATCCTCTACAAACTATCTTGAAGGCAAATCCTGCTACAAAGGCTTTCCTGATAACACAGAACATTAGATAAATGAGTACATTGGATAATTGGCAATACTCAGCCTTAATAACATTCGTTCAAGAAAGGAATCCTTTTCTTTTTCAAGAATCACCTAAACTATTGACATACATGCAAGGTCAAAATGTTTGTTTAGTAATCAACATCCTCTTTGTTTTTACCAGGATTATCCAGCAAGTAAAAATTAAACAAAAAAAAGATTATTAATTGACAATGAATAAATTGTCGCGAAATGTTCAAATGTTACCAGATCCTATACTCTACAGTGATTCTGTGCGTCTCTTCACCAAATGCAGTATGTAACAACAAATAGTGTCCAGAAGCGTAGGGGACAAATAAAAGGAAACTCTATCTAAGCTTAACTGAGCTGATGATGACTGAAAAGGTTCTTCCATTTCTTTCATAAACCAGCAATACCAGTCAGACCACGGATCAGCATGTACAGTCTGTCTATTGATGTTTGTATAACGTTCCCTAAGTAACCAGAAATTATGCCAGTTTGACTCTCCACTTTAATGTAAGGGCGTGTTACTGAACTGAGAAGAGAATCAAAAAGGTTCCAGGACCATGTAAGGGTGAGGCACTAAAATAACCTCGGATGTCTGTGGCATGAGATGAATTTTCCAGTATAAAAAGAGTATTAAAAGATGAAAAAGGAAACTTTCTATAGTGACAGGAAAAAAACACAGATAACTAAATGTTAACAGTCTGAGGCAGGACATTGAAGAGGCTCAGTTGTACTTACTCTGCTGAATGGTCTTGACGCCCCTCAACATGGTGGCTGCAAACACAAAGAAGCAGCCGGTCCGGTCGTACTGGACCTCTCCCATGATGCTGAACGAGGCCCCCAGGCAGATGGGCATCATGGCTGTGTACTTGAGGAAATGGTGTTGCTTGCCCAGGATCAGCGTAGAGATGGCCAAAGTAAAGATCGGGGTGGTGGTGTAGATCATTTGCGCAAACGACAGCTGGACATAGTTCAAACCCATGTTCCCAAAAGCGATACTCGCACAGAAAGTCAGACTCAACAGGAACACCTTACATTTTGCACTGTGGGTCAGCACCTGCACTGCAGACTCTTTATGGCGGATCACTTGCAGTTTGATCAGCCCATAGTCCACCACTATAGCTGTCAGCATGTGCAGCGCTGACAGCAGTAGAGGGTACCTGAAGTTGTACACGGCAAATATCCATTTGTTGAGGCTGGAGATGGTGGTTCCGGTCACAAGCCAAACAATAACAGCTGACAGCAGATGGAGAGTCTCTGCGGGTGGCCTCCTCCTTGCTCCCTCTGGCAGAGTCGCCTCGCATTTTGAGAAGCCATCGGCGCTGATCATGTTCTTATCATTGTCCTCCCTGGAAGGAAAACACATGTCATATTCAATTAAAATTCATGATCAAACCGGCATGGTTGTGGCAGTAAAACCGGTTAAATAACATGCGACACAGCTATCTGTCCATCCTCTCGGGTGTTAGCCGGTCTTTGTTATTCAGTGAACCTGTATTTTTCAGCACCGCCTATAGACACGTGTTTCTATTTTGCATGACGGGCTGGTTGTGTAACTTACCCCGCGCAGGCAAAATGACATATGCCGGACCAGCAAGACAGACAGGGGGGGGAGGACTGAGGAGGGCGGGCTGGAAAGCAGTACGTCCCGTCTCCCCATAAGAGGACCGAGGGATTGGTTACTATCCTGACATTCAGCAATGGACTGACGCGGACGATTTCACGGTGTTGCACCAAAAAAACCAGCACTGAAGTAAACACCATAGGCAAACTAGTGCAATAAATGTAGGAAATGTAATAAATACCAGACAGTGCCCCGCCGCCGCAGCTGACAGAGGTGATGGTTAAGGCTTTAAATAGCAGCTTACTTCATTGCACAGGGAGATCGTGTAAGTCATTTCCCAGCACTGACTTTAGCAGAGGGAAACTCTGACAACTCACTGTTGTTGTTCATAAACACAGACTAGCTCGGGGTTTATTTTTGACACAGCATAACATGTAGCTAGCTATCGGTTTCCTGTTTGGAGCCTCGGTAACCGTTAACACAAGAGCACAACATTTTCTTTATGAGACAGAATAAGATAAACAAGGTAGATTAGGTTAGCTCACCTCTGCTACAGACTGTCACTGGACTCCAAACATGTATGAAGACAACTGGATACTGAGTCGGAGACAGGCTCTGTTAATTCCTATGAGAGTCGCTCAGTGGCGCATGAAGCCTAACATTGGAGCGACTGTAGATTCAGAAAGTACCCGGATAATCCGGGTACTTTTGTTTACAGAGCATGCTCACTTCAGTTTTCCTTAAGCCCCTCCTCCGATCTCCCGCTCTCGGCTCAGTTCTTATTTATATACCCATGAGTCAAATGAATGGAGAGGTAAAATAACCATGGATTCAGCTTTTGGCGCATTTTAAACCCTAATCTTTTAAACAAGGTCCATGAAAGTGTTCATGCATGAAGTTTAATTGGCTTAAAAAGAAATGTTAGACAATGGGAAAGTCTTTTTGGGCTAACATGACGTCACGTTAGTTGTAGTATCACCGTTTGGCCACAATGACTATTCCAAAAATCGGCTTCAACGATCAGCGCACTTCTGAAGGCAGATGTATGACTGCGGTTCAAGCTAACAGCTAGCAGTAGGTTGCTACCTCAAAACAACACCAACCTTCACTCTGGCTGCCTGACACGGTGTTGGCTTACATTTGTATAGTCAACATTAGCAAGACTACAACTGCGCTCACTGACATTTTCTTAGAAAATATGAGGTTTTTACCTTGTTCTTCGACGAGTACCTCCACAACACTGTCAGCAGCAGCATCCCTCATAAACCTCCGGCTGTGGGTCACCGTGCTGTCAGGCTGGTCGAGACAGCAGACGCGCTTCAGTGTCATTGGATGTTCGTTTTAAAGGGCTATGCCAGTTCAGGGCATGGTGCAAGCTGAATGCAACCTCAACCGCAAAATGCAAATAATCACCACAGAATATGAAAACATACAGTAGCTAGCAACATCTGGGTTTAATTTACATAATGCTAATAATGACCTATAACAGATAGTGTTAATTACCCAAACAAATTTGAGATATTAGTGCATTACCACACAATCCAATTCAATATTCCCTCAACTTTACACAGTGTAATGACTTTTAGGACATAGTTTGTTGAGGAAACAGGTTTGTTAATCATACTGTTCAGGGCGTTGAGTAAAGCTTAATGCAAATATATGTTCACAATTCAAATGTTCATGTCGTTTACGATACCAGTTCAGTCAAGTGAAAGTATAAATCATCACATAAACCACGATGAATGCAAAATGTGTTTACTTTTTCTTGCAAAAATTCACCAGATGATTAATTATAAAAGAAACAGCTATTGCAAAAGTTCAGAAAAACCTAAGTATGTCTGTAACATAATGGAGAACAAACCTGAGTTAACATTTATGGGATGTTTAGATATCCTTATATTTTAGCATATTGTTAACATACATTTCTGGTGTCTCGTTTCTTTTTTTGTTGTCTGACATTTGACCTCATCCCAGAATAGTGACACTATCCCAAGATAAATGGGTTGTTGTTCTTGATGCATCATGACAGACACAGTTTCTCTGGAAAGCTTCATTTACATGCACATGAACAACAGTGGTGTGACAGTATAACAACAGCACAGCTTTATGTTTTTATTGAGCTAAAAAATATAACATTTTTCAGGTCATTGGGCACAAAAGGTGAGTTCACATCATGTTTCAGTAAAGAGTCCAAACAATTAGCTAGGTGAAGAGGCTTCCACTACAGAAATGCTTAAGCACTCTAAAACCATGCATGGCTATATGTTGAGATGATGTAATATGTGTAATTACCATGATAATTACCTGCAAGGAAACACAACATTGTGCTTTATTTAAACAACAACTTATTTCTATCATCTTATTATATATATTATAATTATCATTGAATTCCTCCAACATCTCAGTATAACTGGTATACAATCCTGACTCCATTTAAGATACACAGATAGATTTTAAGAAGTGCCCAAAATGAAAATGTTCAAGTAATGTGAAACAATATTTCCTTACAGTGATTCTACATTAGGCTATTCTATTTCTATTCTATTCTCGCTATATAAAGGCCAAAAGCAACCGGCTAAATGTACATGTGCATCATGCCCTATTATAGTACACCATTTGATGAAAACTATAAATACAGAGGTTAATATTGGTTACAGTATATATATTTACTACTAATGTACACACAAAAAACTATTGCCAAGCCTACTTTAATAAGGTTTTCTGGTCCTGACTGATGTGTTTGAATCTGATTCCTTAACATAATGATCCTTCAGCTAATTGAATGCCAAAACATACTTTTGTGCTGCCTAATACACGCCTCTGACCTGGGAGTATTTTCTTCTTATGTTACCGTGCAGTTATGTTATAGCTGCCATGTCCAAATAAAGCCATTTTAGGATTGACACCAATTCAAAGCTAGCGTCTTCTACACTTTAAACTATTGGGAAAGAAGTTTGTTGCTACTTTAAAGTATGATAAATCCAGTTATTTGTGTACATTTTTCTTAAAATAAATCACCCTGAATGTTAATCCCCTCAAACAAAAAATAGCTTGACGGATTTCTATAATCTGTACACAATCTCAGATTGCAGTAACTACTTGGGAATTACTACTTCATTACATAAATAAGGCTAAAATTACCATTAAGCACCAATATAATTCTTTGCTGAAAAAAATCCCCCAGGCTAAACCGGTTTAACGTTCGCATTGTGTTCCTGCAGCTAATTACTGTTGCGCTTGCATTAAGTCTTAAAGACACATTTAAAAGAAAGTGATCCAAATATAAGCAACAAAGGTATAGATATCCTGACTCTCACTGGTCGAGCTCAATGCTGCAGCCTTCATTTCCCATAATGCAACCTAAAAGTGTTCTCAGAGAGTACTCAAGTGACGTCACTTAAGTGATTTTCTCTGACTCGACACATTTTCTGCAGAGCCTGTGAAAACATCCAACTGTACAACTGTTTCCACAGGATGTGTAGTAATCTTCATAGCTAATAGGGGAGGTGCTCCTTTAATGTAGTCAAACAGAAGCTTGATTTCAAGATGTGGGAAGCAGCAGTGTCTGTAAAACCTCAGTGTATTCAGTCATTTGTCCGTCCAAAGAGAATGACTTCTACTTTGGTTTAGAGGTCCAGTAGCTGCTTGTCAGCTGTCAGTCAGACTGGGCAGTAAACTCTTCAAAATACAGTTTGGGCATTTAAATAAAAATTCCCAAGAATCAGCGGGATCAATAAATGTTCTGCTGTGAAAAAGTCTTTAAGTTATGAAGAAAGCGTAGTCCTGCTACTCTCCTTTAAATCCCGGTGCCTCTGTCAGAGCCCAGCATGAAGAACATGTTGTTCCAGCTTTGAGGAGAACAAGACATTCCGCACCAAAAATTCCCTGGCACGATCCCCCTCAACACACACAGACACACATGAGAACTCTATGTACTCCCATAAATCAGTTCTTTGCGGTGCTGAATAAGCATACACATACAACTCACACACACTGAAGCCATGCGCTCTGAAAAGATAAGTTAGAGTATATCAGAAGAGAGAAGGAAGTAGGAGCTTGTTTTGTGCTTGAAATTCTGGGAGTGACGGCTGCTTTCAGTACTTTGTTCATTCACTAACTCACACACACACGTATCCACATACACACAGCTGTCCGTAAGTCATGGAGTAACCTATACGGAGGAACCTCTCAGCTTTCCTGATGCCATGCTTTAAGGGGAACCTCTTAGAAGATATCAGGGCATATGCTCCAGTCCTGTCTGTCTTTGGCCTCCCAGTAGCCTCCCCTGTAGATGTAGGTGCTTTCCCCCGAATGTTCCGCCTTCTTCTCGAACCACAGCGGCTGGTAACCCTCGATGTCTTGCCCTAATGACACAGAAAACATATTTTTAAGGCAAAGCTTTAATATTGACTAATTTTCAGATCACCACAATGTCTTTTCTTGTGTATTTTGCTCTGCTTCAGTTGACTGTGCTCAGAGGAAAGCTGAATACAAATGAATGGACCTTACTTTTCAGAAAGAGCAACATTATATGCACAACCCTTTTATTATCCATCATTTATTGAGCATATTGAGATATAAAAAATCTCTCCTTCCACAGAGTCCTGGTCCAGATGGCAGCACCCGCAGTTTCACATCAAACCATTAAAACACATCGTACATTCATATAAGTAAAAGGAAAGAAGTAAAAGAAGAGCGGCATACAGGCCCTGCCAGCGATATCCACATCTCATTCCACCTGAGTTAATGTTTATGTTAGACAGCAACATGTCCCTTCAGGGCAGAATGCAAAAAGGTATTTCAGAAAGGCGTTTCTTCTAATGCGACGAGACTTTGCAGTTTTAACAATCTCTGCGCACACCCTGTAGATAGCCATTGAATCTGTAATGTGACTTTGTCTATTATTACCTATTCTGCAGTTTAGAAGCAGTTCACTTTGACCTGTCAATGGAAAACAAGTACAGTTCAAGGTTATAGTAAAATTATGTTTGAAGATTAGTAACATCTATTCTTCTAAAATACAAATTAAGTTTCGGCCTTTGCCCACAGCCAAAAACACGTTTAAAAAGTGGTTTAACCCACATCTGTGTCTCAGTAGTTTGAATGTCATGTCAGAGGTAAAAGAAAGAATATTATCATGAAGATCAACTCCAGACCTGATAACAAAACAATTATGGTTTTGTGTCTGACAGAAAAAAAAGTAAAATGTAACGGTTAAAACATCTTTAAAGGTGACCTATCATGCAAAATGCACTTTTGTACGTCTTTTCTACATGAACATGTGTCCCCGGTGTTCCAGGGAACTCACCAAGTGTCAGAAAACACAACCCTCTCTCTTTTCCTCCATACCCAAATCTCTTAAAAAGGGACTGCAACGGATCTGATACAGACTGATCCAGATTTAAACACTTCTCTGACGTCACAGAAGTGGCGCTACGGCTATTGGGCCAACTCCACCAATCAGGAGGAGACAGCCACGGACATTGCCGTTCGAAAGCGCTGGAGACGCTGTAGTGCCAGGCCTGTAGATGGTGCTGTTCTCACAGAATCAGCCCATGCAAAGACAGTGTTAAATTGAGCAAAATGAGGAATGGCTAAAACGCATGATCTGTTTGGTATTTTGAAAAATAAAAAAGTATAAATATGCCTTATATAG